AACAAAAAATGGGGACAAAGAATGAAAATGGAGGTGTACAGAAAGAATATGGGTTTTGAGAGGTGGACAGACTGAAAATGTGTGAATGGACAAACAAAATGAAGGGTGGCCCAGAAAGGTTGGGGGGGAGGGGTATTAAAATGGGGTTGAACAGAATAAAAATAGAGAAACAGAGGAAATTATGAGGCACCCATCAAAGTGAATGGGCTTGGAACACATAGCTTCCTTAGACCATAACCAATACAATAATTAAAATTTTCCAAATGCTACAAGTGCCTCTTTTACTCCTGAATAACAATGGCTAACTACTATGAATGCTGCTTAGTAAGAATACATCAAACTTCATGTATACCTTCTTTCTGACTCATGGCACCTCCTGGAATTCTTAGTTCTTCTTTGTTAGTCCCACACTCATCTTGTTATAGAAGTTCAGCATAAAAACCTGCCCAATAAAATCAGCATCGGAATTAAGGATGTAATTGCAAACGGTCTGAAGTCATATAAGATCAGGGCTTTAACAAATGGGTATCAACAATGTTAACAGATGCACAAATCTAGGCAGAGAATCCTTTGCAAATATTACATACTTTCCATGTGCACACACACAGTGACTGAGACTTAACAACACTTTTGGTTCCAAACAATGTTCACAGAGAAACTTCTAGCTATACATTTCCCTACATGGTAAAATACTAATGCTCTAAAAATAAAGTTTTCCTCTTGAATATATCCTTCTGGTTGGTAAACTATACAAATATGATGAAAGAGGCACACAAAAAGAATGTCCTCCTCACTTTAGGTATTTAAAATAGCAGTACTCCCATATAAAATGTAATAATTACATTTAGAATTTTGATAAGGTGTAATTATAAAAGTTAACTTGGCTCCATTATGTTTTTCAACACTCTAGTTCTCTTTTTTTTTTTGTTTCAGTCCATGATAGTGTGATGTCATTTTTAAATACTCAAAATGTTATTTAGCAGGCACAGCTGGATGATTAGGTTTCAATCCAGTAACGCGAACCAGAAATGACCAGAAATGACTTCAACTCCAAACTTTCCATGTAATGCAAGCCATTGTGCATATGATAAAAAAAAGCATGGTTTTGAAGTCAAATAATGATCTAAATACTTTGTCCTCCTTAGCATAATTGCAAAGCATTTAACATTGTTTGAAGAATTGTGAAATTAAATGTTTAAAGTAATGATCCGGCATGGAAGTGTGAGTCCCATATGAAGAGGATTGTCTAACCAGGACTTGAAACAGGGCAAATATCCATCCAGCAGTTATTTACTTCCCCTGGAAAAGACGCTCTGGAGAGACAGATGCTGGAGCATGATCACCAAACCAGACCAAGTCGACAAAGTAAAAGCAATTTAGAAGAAAAGACAAGAAGGCTTGAGACTATAAATAGGAACTATGGATACCTCAACTAGAAGATGATGCATGCATGGCTTAAGACTAGCTTAGGAAGGTTTAGCACTCAAGAACCATGATTATGAAACACTGGAGGTGAGAACAGAACCCAATGCATGAGGCAGGCATACAGTTGCAACTCTAAACTGCCCTATTAGTGTGTAAATATTATTTGACCATGCATAATGTCTGGGAGATTGGACAGAGAATGGTACATACTAGTGAGCAAGTAAGAGACTTTTTGAGAATGTCACCAGAGGCATGATTATTATTGTTTTTATTTCATTATTAGTGTGGTATTCGATATTTCTAAATAACTTGACCATCCTGGGATTATGGTGGTTATCATAAGAAAGTGCACTCAGTGCAGTTTACCATCCCTGTAAAATGAGCTAATGGGACCAAATCAGTATATCTGTAAATATCCCAGGTTATCAGCATTTTTTACAATGTTTTTTTTTTAATTGAGGGACTCTGAGCTTTTACAAAAATGTATGTAGTTCCAGCCTGAATACCTTAACTGTGGGAAAAAGAGAAGTCAGGAATAGGTAGTATGAAAACATAACTAATATTATAATTGTTTTTTATAAAACATATTTTAAGCAAAAAGTTAACCTCAACTAATTGAAGTTAGAGAATAAATAT